GAATACAGTGTTCAATTCTTCTCAAACCGTGATTAGTTTGCGAATAAGGAACGAACCAGGAAGGCCTTTTCCGAATGTCATAATAGGATTGTGTATTTTTCCTGAGGTTACACAGTTTAAGAAAACAAGCGTTGTTTGATAGCAAGCTTTGTTTGTATTTCATTATAAGGTTGAAACTGTGTATGTGATCGATCGGTAAAATCTTATATTCTCTGAATAAATGACTTGTATGTGCGTCGTATGGTACGTTTGCAATATGATGAATTGCTTTTTTCTGCAGTAAAATTATACCTTCCTCTTGAAGGATAGTGGCAATCTACCTGTCATGAATTTGAGAGTGCTTTGAGATTGAAGCAACTAGAAGAATGAGAATGGGGTGGAGCACATTTGGCAAGCACCATAGAGTACCGCTCAGTATATTTTAGGCACTGTGATACCGTGCATCTAGGCAAAAGCCAGCGGCTGCGAGACCCGCTCCCCACAGTACTGAAAGAAGGCAAGGGAAAAGGTACTGCAACTTTTGGATCTCTCTGCCTTTACATTTTGTATGCTGGGCTTATGGCACTTGCCTAGGCGTCAGTTATGCTTGTTATGTGGTTGTCGGTGCTTTCCCGAATTCAGTTGGAAGCTGTATGGCGGTGTCAGAAATGAAGAATAAGCACTTGCAAGTGTTTCTGGTCTCATACACAACTGAGATTTAGTGCTTTGCGAGTTTGCAAAAATATTGCAAGTACGGATTCTTTACCATATGGGCCTGTGATGCAAGCATTTCGCACGGCAGCAAAGCTGTCATACCACTTTACAGAAACATCATAACTACATTTGAGCTGCGGAAGGGCAGAGCAACATTGGAAGTTTCCAACAAAAGAGCTGCGAACACAGTGCCTTCTGCGCGAAATTCGCGGAAATTCTTGTGGAACACAACTTGCGGCTAAGGGCAAGTGAACATGCAGGACCGTTGTTTCCAAACATCCTACTGAAGTGCAAGGGCGCGAAGCGGTACGGGTGCGGACTTATAAGAACAGCTGCCATTGTCAGGGAAATGGCATGCTTTCGTAGTCGCAGTGTCGGCCACGTTATCCCGAATTTTCATGCCGCTGAGCTGGAAGTTGATGCTAACTCAGCGCATGAAGTTGATGCCAATTAGGGGGGAGGGTTCATTACGCAAGAGGAAAAAAAAGTAAAGGAAGTTATAACAGTAAAAATTTTGCATGACGGTATCAAAAAACTAATCCGACCACTGCTAGCCTCCAATTGAGTGGCAGGACCAGGGAGCCTCTATTCGAGAACTTTGATCTTCACAAGGGGAGCTGCTCGTGCTTTGACCCGCGAAATGTGTGAGGTACCTCTCTTTAGCCTGAAGTGGTACACGCACTATTCACACAGCTGCACCACGCGTGCGTGCGAAGGGCAAAAGAGCGTATGTATACCGCTATCCATGCAGCCACGCCACACGTGCCAGGACCCTGCTGCACGCAAGCGGAGGGCAGAAAAGTATGTACGAGGCCTGTTAGAAAAGTATCCGACTTTTAGTGAAAGAAAAAACACTGGCATAATTGGAGCGTTGGAAACCTAATCCCCCTGGGGACTTCACACACTTCTTCCAACGTTTCTGGCATCGCTGGAAGCATTCGAAGAAGGCCTCTTTTGAAATGGAGTTTAGCTCAGCTGTCTTTGCAGTCACAATGTCCTTCCTTGTCTGTAATTGCTCTCCTTTCAATGTGCTCTTGAGTTTGGGAAACAGCCAGAAGTCGTAGGGGGCCATATCAGGAGAGTAAGGGGCCTGTTGAACTACAGGAGTCTGATTTTTCGCCAAAAAAGTCTGAACGAAGTGTGAGGAATGTACAGGAAGGAGCATTGTCGTGACGGATGCGTCACTTTCCTGTTGACCACTACTCGGGTCTTTTGCGCCGCACCGCATCATGTAGGCGACGGAGGACATCCCTGTAGACTCTTTAAGGATCGTTTGATCCTGTGGTGCGTACTTGCGCTGTACCACACTGTGGGAGTCAAAGAAAGCACTCAGCATCAATTCGACGTTGCTGCGCACTTGGCAGGCCTTCTTTGGTCTTGGTGACTTGGAATGCTTCCACTGTGACAACGGGGATTTGGTTTCAGGGTGATACCTATACACCCAGGACTCTTGACCAGTAATAACGGTGTTCATGAACTTGGGGTAACTGCTTGTGAAATCCAGCATGTCCTGTGAGACTTCAACACGAAGTTGCTTTTGCTTCACTGTGAGCAGTTTCGGCACAAATTTTGCCACAACTCTTTTCATGGCCAAATCTTTGGTCATAATGGAATGTGCAGAGAAAGTGCTGATGCCCACAATTTCCCGGATAGTCGCATGGCGGTCCCGCATCACCACAGCGTTCACTTTGGCAATGACCTGGTCATTTCGACATGTTGATGGTCGACAGAAGCGTGTCTCACTCTCCACCAGTGTGCGACCGTCTTTCAAGTCGGGTGTACCACTCCTTAATCTATGTGCGGCTCATAGCGTCTCCACTAAAAGCCATTTTGATCTTCCGAATGGTTTCCACTTGCCTGTCGCCCACTTTCTGGCAAATTTTGATGCAGTAGCGCTTCTCCAGTTGCTCTGTCATTTTTCTTGCAGTGAAAAACCGACGAGAGCATGGCGCACTACCTCACTCAAACACTGCGTCCCAGTGACGGCTGCTATTGCCAGGCGGGAAAAAATGCACACATGCGCACAAAGGTTCAAGGTCAGCTGATGCAAGCGTGCGTTTCAAATTCATTAGGTGCTCGCAAAACAAAAATAAGGTTAGATACTTTTCTAACAGACCTCGTACATGCGGTATCCGCACAGCTGCGCCTGTCAGGACACCTGCCGCAGGGTATCGGCACCTGTGGTGCAGCTGTGCGGATAGCGCGTGTACAATTCAATGCGCCCGGATCGACGTTGAAAGGGTCGTCTAGCCGCTGGGTTCTCATGCTCCAGCACATGCTCGACCAACTGCAAGTTCAAAACCGGCTATTTTGCTAGCAAACCGATCGATCATCAACAAAAGCACGTCGGATGGCAGCGCACGCACATTACAGGGGCACGTCGCACTGTGCTTTCTGTTTTGCTTTGTTTTCGCACCACTGTGCTTGTGTGGCGCTATAGGCTCAAGTTTTCTACAGCGCTCAACAGATGGCGCACTGCCCCTAAACGCATGACTTATAAATTTCAATTGTCGTCGCCTGCGCTGGCGCTGCTCGCAACTCTTTTGCACAGTTGTTAATTTTTTGTCTTTTATTCCACCGTTATTTTGTAATATAATGGCAGAGTTTAACGTTGTTGCGATTGCCAACGGCACTGAAAACCTCACAGAAATAAAATGCACAGATACGTTAAGAAACATAATTTTTTTTCAAGAACCAAACTGGGGGTCATTGGATTCATTATGCGAGTACAGGCAGTGTAGTAGTCTGCCTGCAACCTCCCTCTGAGAGTGGTTTTACTGCAGTGGAGGGGGTGCTTAGCCGCGAAAACACCTATCCAAGGTAAGTCTGTGCTGCCGCGAAGTTCCACTGCAAGCCCCCCTGGTGTAGTCTAGTGGCTAAGGTACTCTGCTGCTTACCCGCAGGTCGTTGCATCGAATCCCGGCTGCAGCGGCTGCATTTTCAGTAGAAGCGAAAATGCCGTAGGCCTGTGGGCTCAGATTTCGGTGCACGTTAAAGAACCCCAGGTGGTCACAAAGTTTTGGAGCCCTCTACTACGGCCTCTCTCATAATCATATCTTGGTGCTTTTGGAAAGTTAAACTGCAAGATTAAATGAACATGTTACCCTTCCATCTTTTCCAAGTGTAAAAGCTTGTTATATTGGCTTGCATGCTCCAACTATTCAATGTTGCTTCCACTTTTTTGTAACCAGGATGGCATTTACACAGGCGTTGTTTCAATAAATAAACAAAATATATATATATATATATATATATATATATATATAGATTTAACAAACTATAATGCCAAGGAATGTATAGCGGAAGTTACTTTTTCACCCACTTTTCTTCTTATTTTCATTACATTGGTTCTAATAGCTAATGTTCTAATAATATTGTGTCAAAACACGGAAAAACGAATTCTTAGGTATACACTTCTTTCCCTTATTCATTAACGAGGGTCTCGTACTGGCAGACTTGGTGCCGTTAGGTTGTATGCGAGGGACTATTGTCAGCTGCTAGCTCGTAATAAGTTCACGTGCTACGTGACGCCACACACGCTCATAAAAGAGTGTTCCATTCTCGCTGCCATGGCTACAGATGGCGCTGACTGACACTCCCACGTTTAAATTAACATATAAACCCAATAAATTGGCTGGGGGGATAGCCGCTGTGATAGCTCAATGGCAGAGCATCGAACGCGTTATTCGAAGGTCGTAGGTTCGATTCCTGCGCACGGCAATTTATTTTTTTACCCACTTTTCTTTCTTCTTATTTACATTACATTGGTTCTAATAACTTCCCCTATACATTCTTTGGCATTATTGTCTGTTCTGATCCTGTTAGCTCTCATTAATATTGTGTCAAAACACGAAAAAACAAGCCCTTAAGTATACACTTCTTTCCCTTTTAGATATATAGAGAGGTCATGACAAATATGCTCATTTTTCTTTTTAATATGGTATATTCAGTCATTCGATCACAGTCGCTATTTCTTTCGAACTTACAATTACTTTTTGCACCAGCCTACTATTATCGATATGCCATGCCTCAATCACCAAATGCATTTCTTCATTGCTATGCCAGCGTGAAACTGCACATTCATAGAATTTTGGTGTGCCCCTAAACTCTCGCCAAAACGTCAAAGGAGTTCTTTCGGCAAGTTCGTGTTACACGTAATACTCAACATCACTGTAAACAAATGGGGCAACTCGATGAAGGTGAAGGGGTGTGCCAAGTGCTTCTTGTATATTCTCTGTCAATCCTGTTTTGTCTTTTGAGTGCTGTTGCTATGGACAGTCTGTTATGTTTTGCTTTTCTTTTTGCAGCTTGGTCGTGATGCCCAGTACTGACCCCATAAAAACTGTGCCTCTGCCGTCGGTCAGCCAGATGACCATCAACATGTACTGCACCCATGTAAGCACTCCTTTTTGACTTCGTTTCCCTTTTTTTTTATAATGGCATTTCAATCTATATCGCACATTTTTTTTAATTGTTAGAGTGTCAGCGTCGGCAACATAGCTTTAAGGGCCAGTGAAACAGCCTTCCCCCCCCCCCCCCCCCCTCGAGTTCCAAAAATGGTCATGAAGAGAAATATGCGTGCTTTTGTTAAGTGAACATGCTGCCTCAAGAATTTTGCAAATGCGTGCTATAAAAAGGAAGTTTCAGTGGTTGGAACTTGGGTTCCAGCTGGTTTCGAGTTTTTGTGTGGCCTCGCCTACCTTTTCAGCCAAAGAGGGGGGGGGGGGGGGGGGGGCATGTAGCTCTTCATCTCAACTCCGCCCACTTCGACAATGTGACGCGACCTCAGCGCTGCGACACTAGTGCCACTAGTGCCAGAGTTTCGTCTAGTGTACTTATGAGAAACTCCCCATGTTTTGAGACTCATCCCTGCATGTGGTAGTGCAAGTTGAACTATTTTATTTTGTTTCTCGTCAAGGAAACTTCAATTACTTTCAATCCGGCGGTTTAGGGCAGATCATTAGAGTTCCAAAGAGAACATATACTGAAAGTTTTATTGAGATCAGCAGACATGCAAAGATCGTCACAGTTGCGCATGGACGTTAACTGCATGAAGTCGGTCTCGACCTCTCGCTTGAAATTTCTCAAGCTGTCAATTGTGGCTGTTGGCAGGTGGTAGACTGTGGCCACTTCTACGCCCGGTACTCCGACCAAGCGTCCCAGGTTGCGGAGCAGCACATGAACGAGATAATCAACCATCGCTCGAGCGAGAACCTAAAGGTCAGAACTTTTTTTTGTGTGTGTGGGAGTTATTTATTTAATGCAGTGGTAGCACGGCGCTTTCACTGCCGAACTTTCTAGTTGCAATTAGCTCTGAAATCTCTCGATTTTTCTCATATGGGATAGATTATAAAAATTGCTGTGGCGCTCGATTTGTGAGGCAATGAATTCGATAAGGAGAATCAATTCACTTAACGTTTGCTGTCAGGCTAGTTTGCGCACAGCTGAGCTTGAATCGACGGCGCAAATGTTTAGGACAGGAGCGAAGGAAGATGTGCGCTTTTCCATGTCTCGTGAGTCTTCTCGCTCCTGTCTAAACGTTTGCGCCGTCAATTCAAGTTAGGATCAATTCACAACTACTCGGGAAAAGTGTGGCCTCGTGCAATTTTATGTTTGTGTCTCCGTAGCCCTTGACAATTCCACCAGACACTGACATGCTTGTGCTCGCTCCGTACCGGGGAGTCTACTACCGGGCGAGAGTCGAGGGTGTACGCGACAACAAGCTTGCGAAGGTGAGTGCTCATTTTCTCTCCCCTTCCCCCCTTTTTTTTTCCAAGAGACACTTGCATTGCATGTTAAAGTGATAATTATTCTTGAATACCTACATTGCCATTAATATTACGGCTGTGTGTTGTTTAAGAAATTAACAAAATGCCAACATCATTTTATCAGTTTTTGACTTGACATGTTTCTGTCAATTTTCTTGCATGTCATCTCAAATTGATCCAATAAGTGCTCGTGAAGCTTCCCTCATCAAATCCAATTTGGAGGCCACATTTTAATGCATTATTTGCCTGTTTGGCTTGTCAAAAATGCTAACGAGTGCGCCGTTTCTGGGTGTTTTCGAGCAAATATTTTAACACTGTGTGCGAAGTGTCGTTTTCAGCACCAGTGCCAAGGGCCACACGACTGTGGGCTGCAGCGTCTGTCATATTTTGACACCTCGCAGGTGTTCTTCCTCGATTACGGCAACACAGAGGTCATGAGCGTTTCCATGCTCAGGGCCATTGATCCGGAGAATCACGTGGACGTTCTCGTCACGCCAGCTCAGGTGAGGTTTGGCTGCTGCTTGCCACCAACAGTCATCAATAGCTTCTGCAGGTGCCGCATTCGCAATTTGTAGTTCATCAAAGGCAATGGTAATTGAGAAAGTTGTGATATGGTAATTACAAGTTATGTACACTCACAACCTCCTGACATTTGCCACGAATTACTTGGTTATATTCGAAAATTAGTTATGAACAATAATTGTTTACCCTGTGTCTATGACAAGGCTATTCTTCACTTCGTAATAACTGATAATTCATTATATTGGTGTATGAGTATACTGGTCTAACATCTAAGATGAACACCTCTTTGATATTCAAGCTGGTGAAACTAGAAGGTTCTATCTAGTTCCACAATGGAAATGTCTACTATAAGTTATAACTGCTTACAACGAATTCCTCGATATAGAGAAGTTTTTTTATTTCTTGCCGTTGCTCCATAGAAGCACATGTATTTGCTACCTCTGTGTAACTAAGTAACAGCAGGAGACAACCTTGATATAACGAATTTTCCCCACAGACAATCTAGAAATTTTGCTCTGCATTTGGGTACGAGCGTGCATCTTTCTCGGCTGCCCTGTCGCTGACGAAGCGCGAAACTGGTGGGCCTGCACCCCACACACAAGCCGGCGTTGCTACCGTTCTTCACCACTACTCGCCATTGCGGGCGCATGCACGAATGTGCCCCCCCCCCCCTCTGAACCAAAAGAAAAAAGAAGCCTACTTTTACATGTTGGCAGTGCCACGCTTTTAGTTAGCGTCACATGTGGGGCCGCGCTGCTTATGGAGGGCGCTATACCGTATAGTTGTCCGCGGTATTCGTCTCGCTCGCTCTTCGTTTCCGACGCTGTGCGTGCGTGCATAGTTTCACTGCGCATGCATGATGTGGCTCCTGACAACGTTCAGCTTTGCTCTTTTTTTTTTTATTGTGGAAGCAATTGTATGGACAGTCTTGGTTGGTTTTTTGCCATCGCTGCTTCTGTCATTCACCGTATATGTACCGTAGTTACTCGGTTCTACCGCGCCCTCAATTGTAATGCGCACGCGGTTTCCACGACGCAAAAAAAAAACAACGCGCACAGATTTTTCTCGTTGGCCCACACGATCACACCACTCGACAAAAAGACTCCTTTCGCGAGCGTCTTCCGTTTAAATATGAGGTACGGGGAAGCTTGTGCCTATCTGACGTGCAACTGAGCATTGCCGTCACTCTAGTTTTACCGTGGCCCGATGTCAGCATGCGAACTTGCTTCGCCCCCTTCTTCTCGACGGTTGTGGTGCCAGGCATGTCGAAGTAAAGAGGCGTCTGATCGGCATTGCCGATTTGCCCAAGCAGGGAGTGGTTGTTGCCAGCACCTGCTCGCTTTAAACTGGCTCCGCATTAGCCCTTTTTCTAAGGCTAACTTCATAGCCTGCACTTGAAGCAGTTTTGTCGTCACGGGCCGCTGTGCCGCTCACTGCTCAATCACATACTCGCCGAGCAGCTCTTCAATTTGCGGAAACCGACCCTGCTGTGGTCCACTGAAGCCTTTGCGTGAATCTTTGCTGTCGACAATATTCTGCTTTTGCTTCCGCCAGTCCCGCACGCATGTTTCGGGAACTCCGAATGACTGCGATGCGGCCCGATATTCGTCCGTTTCTGCACACGCGATGACTTCTAAAAGCGGCATCGTGGTGCACTCGAATTTTTGGAGTCGGCCCTTCCATGCCGTCGATGCTAATGCACTACTACAAGATGACAAACTCCTCAGCACACGTACGAAGTGCCGCACATGGGAAACACATAGGCAGAAATGGCCGACGCGCCATGCCGACGCACATAGGGGGCGGCCATTTTGGAATGCTGATGGCAATAGAATGACCGTACTCATTTTTTTTTTCGTACTCGATTCTAACGCGCATGTGATTTATGAACTCACTTAACCGGAAAAAAGGTGCGCGATAGATACGAGTAATTACGGTATACGTATCTATATATATTAAAGCTCAAAAAAGAAAGAAAAGAGGGAAGCCAACCGCGTCACAATGCGCTGACAAGGGCTTATCTCTCACGCGTACTTTGCCACATGTATGGGGGGCGGGGGTGGGGAGATAGATGCTTGTGTCTGCACACTTATCTTTCGGTGCACCTTCGACTTCGACCAGAACAATTGCGTTTAGTTCCCGGGCGCACTAAGATCACTTTACTCGCCGAGAGGCGCCGTTTGCGAAAAGAGTGTGCTTTTCAAACACTGCGAAGTAACAACTAGGGCACTTGTTAGTTCCCACTCATATCTGTACCTGTGATTACGTTTTGTGCCTCGCTTTTGTTTAAACAGCGCGTTAAGTGTCAAGCGGTAAATGCTGTTAGTTGGCTCTAGTCCTGTGTATGTTGTTTTCGTGCGTCATTTGTGCGGGAGCAGCGCACTGCACGTTTCGATCTGCTTGCCTTTCACAGCATTACATTCCAAGTTGTTGCTATCGCATTGATTGCTTTGCCCTTGCAGTGAAACTGTGCCTTTTCTTAATTTCGGACAACCGTGTCATTGCCACTGACGGGATGTCACATTAGGCACTGATAAAAACTCTCTGACACCACGGTGGCGACACATCTTCTGGGGTCGACTCGTCACGCACTTCCGTCTTGCGCCGCGAATTCGCAGGCTGGTAGCTTTCGAGACTAGAATTAGTTCTGGCAACACGACAGCGTGTTGAATGCAATGCAATAAAAGCGATAGCAAAAAATTGTAATGTTATAAGCAGCCAACTCTGTATGATCCGATACCGCGGAACTCCTACAAAATGGTGGTGTGAGCAGATACGGCTGCTCCAGGGAAAAGTGCTTTTCACACAGTCCCTTCGCGTTGAAACCACACTGATACTCACCAAGATGGTAAGCCCGCCAGTGATTGCGACCGCCCTTAGATCCAACTTCATTATTGCTTCTCAAGCAATCCCCTCTTCCTCTACGTTTTTTCATGCCCGTTCAAGACTGGTGGTATACTTTCTGTTTGTGCATTCGACGGCAGTTCTAACACGCGGGAGATGTTATGCACTTTCTAGGCGATAAGGATGGGCCGACTGATTTGATCTCTGCTTCAGCAGCACTTGCATGCTTTTACTTGCTCGTGAAAGTTACGATGCTCAAGGGCATGTTATCATATTGGATTTGTTACGGAACATGGTGGCGACAGTGAAAACCTGCCGAGAGTGCCTATATAATTGCTATCGCAATAATAATGCCATTTTTTTTACTGTAAAATAAGTGTCTTGGCTTAGCTCTCCCTTCAGTTCTCCTTTTGTTCAATTTGCACGTTTATTTTCCGAATTTTCGTACCGAACTTGCATATAACAAAATCCTCGTTATAAGGAATTTTTCAGGAAATTTGTCAATTTCGTTATATCCAGGTTTAACTGTATAACATGCAAGTATGTTGGCGATTCGGCATTCGGCAAGCACTCTCAAATTATGACAGGTAGATTGCCACTATCCCTCAAGAGGAAGGTATATAACAGCTGTATCTTGCCGGTACTTAGCTACGGAGCAGAAACCTGGAGACTTACAAAGAGGGTTCAGCTTAAATTGAGGACGACGTAACGAGCAATGAAAAGAAAAATGGTAGGTGTAACTTTAAGAGACAAAAAGAGAGCAGAGTGGATTAGGGGACAAACGGGGGTTAAGGATATCATAGTTGAAATAAAGAAGAGGAAATGGACATGGGCCGGGCATGTAGCGCGTAGACAAGATAACCGCTGGTCATTAAGGGTAACTAAACTAACTGGATTCCCAGAGAAGGGAAGCGGGTTAGGGGGAGACAGAAGGTTAGGTGGGCAGATGAAATTAAGAAGTTTGCGGGTATAAATTGGCAGCAGCAAGCACAGGACCGGGTTAACTGGCGGAACATGGGAGAGGCCTTTGTCCTGCAGTGGACGTAGTCAGGCTGATGATGATGATGATGTTGGCGATAAACAGAATAATCATTTTCTGAATTATATGTTGAACATCAGATTCTACAACTTCAAGAAAACTTGTCTGGTGTTCGCTTTAGACAAGAATGACCGTGGGAAATTTTCTGCTTTGTAAATGCATTTGAAGTTTTTGTTTTTCATGCATGATAGCCATGGAATACAGTCAAGCCCGCTTATAACGAACCTGAGCGTGACGCGGCATTTGTTCGCTGTATCCCGAAGCTTGTAGTAAATGAAACACAGCTTTTAAAAAAAGTGGCTAGTGAAAACACAAAATGTTTTGCCCAAAAAGTCTCTGATGCACGTGTTTCGAAGAGCAGAAGCGATAAGGGCGATCTCAAGTTTATTCAAACGGCAGCGTGCTCTTCGCCGAAGCCCGTGGCATAAGCTGCATGAGGTTCTAGCTCCAAAGTTTCGTCGTTCTCGCAATCTGATTGTTCCAAATCGCTCTTGCCGCATACTTAATTCACAATGCCCTAATTCGTGCACGGTTCCGTGGTGTCTGCATTTTCATCGACCGTAGTTAAACCATTGCAACTCATGTCCCACCCACTCTGCCAGGTCGGAGTCGATAACGCACTGCCACAAATCGCTGCCGGAGTGGTCCTGTTCGGAAGCTTCAGGCTCGGCATCGGGCTCGACGTCGACGAAGTCGCCTCGCGAAAACAAAGTTTCGCGCCCATGTAGCCGTCACTGCCACCTACGAAATATTCACCATTTCCACAGCTGAATATCGGGACGCCCGAAGCGGCAAGTTGGCTGCCGGGTGGTCAAAAGTTATGAGCAAGCGCTCAGCAAAGCGGCGCCTAACGCGCGGATTACGCCCAAGCCAAGCAGTCACACTTTTTACGCTTTGTTGAGTGGCAAGAAAAGCGTGCAAGGCCTCCCGTCCGCCATCCTGATCACACACGCACACCGAGAGCGAGCAAGACGCACACACGCAACACACATGCCAGAACGCATCTTACAGCTCTGGGCTCCTTTCTAGTCAGAAAACAAGACATCTGAATTCGAGTCAGCGTGGCTGGCGTCGTGGAACGGTGGAGACGGGTGAAGGAGTTATGTCAAGGGTGGAGAGCCGAGTTTCGAGAGAAAGGCAAGGAGTTGCGATAGAGTGAAGAGAGGGGAGGATACGGCGGAAAGGCGACTTTGAAAACCAAAACACGCTCGAAGGAGGCCGGTCGGGCAGCTTGCTTGAAAGGTCCGCGAAACGCGCTACTCTCACGTAGAATGCGCGCGCAGAGGTCTAAGCACGTCTGCCTGGATTGGCGCGCACGGTGATAAAGAATTGTTTTGCTGCGCCGGCGGGTTTGTGTGGCCACACCGGCTTTGATATTTCACGATTTGTTCCGCGCAAATTAACAGCTGTTTTTACGCTTCCGCATGCGTGCGGAGGGCATGCTGAGCCGAGTGCGAAGTGAGCAAGAACAGGTTCTAAACACGAAAAGAATAGCGAATTATCAGAGTGGATGGTGTAGCGTACGTGCTTGCACTAGATTGATACGATAAGTCAAGACGCAGACGATCGCATACAGCCGATGTTGGCAAGTAGTCTGGTCACTCCAGGCCGGCGACGTCAACGACAGTACCAGCGATCAAGAACCGGAAGATGACTGACCGGTCTTCGAAAGATGGGTGGCAGTGTGAAAACATGGGCCGCGTCTGGCGATGCGGGGTGCTCAGAGTAGCATGGAGGGACAAAGGACGGAACGGTGCAGAAGGGTGCGTAACAAAGAGCGATCGGGGAGAGCGGCAACTCAACTATAGGGGCGCGGAGGCAGGGTCGGCGTTTAACAATAAGAATCTATGGGCACCTCGCCGATGCTTCATCCGGGGTCGAAAGTGGTTTCCCGGGAAGTCGGCAGAGTGCTGACTTCGTTCGCTGTAACCGATCAGCGGCGCTCAGAGACGTTCGTTATAAATGCGATTTTGTCATTGAAACAATGTATAATTTCACGGTCACGCGAATATTGTTCATTTTAAGCAAAAGTTTTTTTTAAGTGGGGCCGTTATATGTGGGCTCGACTGTAGTTGAACAAGTTCCGCTTAAAATAAGTGGATTTGCACTTTTTTTTTTTGCTGAGTTGCTTGTATTCTTGCAGCAAATGTGGTTATTCTAGTAATCATCACGTTCACCAATGTGCATTTGTCGTTCACTGATAGCTTGTCAGTTCTTTGTGTACCTGAGTGCATAGGCCAGTGCGGGGTTCCCTGTCAAAGGGTAGGCAAAGTTTCGTCTCGGCACCACCCTCTGCACTTTGTCCTGTTAAATCATTGTGTAGTGCATGCTTAGCACCCTCCTTGACCCCCCTTTCCCGCACGCATGCCTCTTACTGTGTGGGGAAGTCAAAACGTGCGGAGAATCAACAAGATATGTTAATCATGTGCTGGCTAACTGGCCTTCAACCGAACAGAGACCATCCTGGAAGCAATGTTAAAAGGTAGCCATGTGCTTTCATTCATAATTGTGCATATTTTTGCTGTACAAGACAATCGGGTCATTTTTTAAAACTCTCCTTCATATTAAATTGACACAGAGCTCGCACCTGCGCTATCTGCACCTGCGCGCAGCAGGTGTGTCTGCACGTGCAGTGCAGATGGGCGCGTGTGCAGGTCATGAGCCCATCATTCGTCTCTGTCCTGTAGTTCACACTGTTCCTCTGTTTTTTATATATACCTGGGCCAACCAACCTAAATAAGCACTGTAGCGTTGTCTTGTGTGTCATCCCCATCACTTTACGACCACCAGGCGTTCGAGTGCAAGCTGGCTGAAGTGCGGCCCTCGGCCATGTCCAGCGGCACCGAGCTGTGGACGAAGCGTGCTTACGAGACGTTCAAGAGCTTGGTCATGGGACAGTACCTCGTGGGTCGGGTGAGTTGTGTCTTCCCAAAAGTCGCCTTTCCTGTTCTTGGCAGGGGGCATTTCAGAATGCAGTAGGATCTCGATGGTACAAATTCCAAGGAGCACAAAAAATACTCCTATCATCCCAAATTTATAAGAATCAAAAACGAGTAAAATCTGATCATGAAGATGAACAAGAACTTAATTGGGGTCAACTACAGTAAAAGCTCGTTAATTTGACACTTGTTAATTTGGAAATTCTGATGATTCGGACGGCTCTATTGGTCCCGGCCAAAGTGCATGTTAATCTATGGGACCAAACCTTCGTTATTTCGTCGGAATTCGGCTCCGCACCGCTCAATTCGGACAAATGCTGACGGCTGATGCTACACAAAAGTGTGATAAAGCAGCGCTGGCACCACTGGAGTGAAACCGAAACCCGAGTGGGATCGCCATCATCATCAACTAGTGGGGGCGATCACAGCGTCATTGAACGTCGGCGTCTTCTTTCTTCTCCACTCAGCGCCTCCGATGCCATTTTCCCTTGTGCTGTCGTGTCGGAACCATCTCTTCTTGCGGAGTTCTCTTTTTCTTCCATTGTGACCGTATTCGCATGCCACCACCATCGTGCGCTACAGTGATGGCAACGCCGAAAAAGCGGCAAAACTACGACGCGAAGAACTTGGGGACTTCGCTTGGCGACGCGAACTTGGCGATCACCGACGATGACTGCCCGACTTTCGATGCTGTCCTTCCCACATATGTGACCTTTCAGGACTACATCGCGATTGATCATGGTGTCGCCACGAGTGGTCTCCTGACCGATCAAGAGATTAATAATGATGCCACGGGCGCCCATGAAGACCACGATTTCGATGAAGAATCATGCGAGGAGATACCGCGACCTCATCGCACCTCACGGGAAGTCTCGGAGGCGCTGTTAATATTAGAGGACGCTTGCCTGAACACTCCCGACAGCTTGCGTGCTGTTGGCCATTTGGAACAGTTAAGAAAAATTGTGATGTCAGCCGGAATCTGCGCGAAAACGCAAACGACAATTACAAAATAGTTTAACAAATAAAGGTATGCTTCTGCAGCTTGATTTTAAATGTTATTTTCCCTGTTCATTCGTTAATTCGGCATTCGGTTAATTCGGACAGTTTTTCTGGTCCCGTGAAATCCGAATTAACGAGCTTTTACTGTACTGCTTTCTGAAACAAAGTCCGTGATGTTTTTTTTTTTTTTTAAGTTTTCTGTCTTTACCGTCTCTCAATAAAGTTACGCGGTTTCCTCACTCATTCGGTTGGTACTTTGAAGGGCATTCGCACGAGACATCGAACGGAGCGAAAACAGTAAAACTAATTGGAAATTCCCACGCTTTGCTGCTTGCCCTGCCAGAAAATCGCTCCATGAAGTCGACAAGAAAAAAAAAATCTGTCCTAAAGAATTCACTCTGTAGAATTCAAGCAAAAACACCAGAGTGGTCGGAAAACCATGTCTGTGCCTGTCTGAAATGTGAATTCGTTCTGCCCCTTGTACATGCCACTGCCGCCATCACCGCTTGAGAATTCATTTCGTTTTGCCTGCTTTCTGAGCATTAAAATTTATACCGTGTTCCAGTTATGTATGCAAAGTCCTGAAAAGAAAGGGTTTACGCCTTTACAAACAATGTTTCGGGAGGTACTCCAAGAAACAACATGAGCAGACGCACCACTAGCGGTGGCGCCGGATTCAGCCGGCAATGCAAAAACAAGACACGTTAGGGCATGCTGACTCGCTGCTGCTGCACCTTCTACTTCCGGTGTTTTCGGCGATCGTAATCCAAACAAGGCTCTCGGTGGATGTGTGCTTGTCAAGGCCGTGAGCTTTGACGTGCTGCACCAGTAGTTCGTGATCCACCGCGGACGTCTGTGCCACATGTTGAATATGCGGTTGGTCGTTTGCGTCACATGGTTTGAGAGCTTGTGTAGCCAGTGTAGCCAAAGTCGCTAAGCAAAAAGGCAAAATTGGTCTCTGGTTGATGTTTTCACAGCGTAGTTTGCCGGATGTTCAGGCGGCAAAGCAAGGGGAATTCCGGTAAGTTTTGCCTTATTCACTGCCTTCGAGGCCAAGTGAGAATGGGCCTAAAGACTAGCCGTGCTGCGTTGCTTGCAGTCAGTTGCACGTTTAAATCGTCTGAGGTGGCTGGGGAAATCGTTTGTGTAACACAGGTAGACGATGCATTTGATATAGTGTAGTCCATCTGTCACAGAACGAGCGCTAAAAATGGGCGCGCCGCCAAATTCTTGCGGTAACGCGCGGAAGAGACGCCGGGAGGTCAAAAGAAAGAAAACGGAAAACAAACATCCAAGGCTCCCCGGGCGCGCACTCTCCCCTTGGAAGCGTGGCTTCGCCGACGAACCTCCTCACCCCACATCAGCGGCCGAGATAGCCCGCGAAAGTTCTAGAACGAAAGAGGCGTGTTCTGCCGGGTTGACTCATCTGTCGGGGACGGCCCTCATACCGTCTCGCGCCCCTTCCCAGCCTTCGCTGCGTATCGCGCCGACGAAATGACGAGAACCTTCTGGAATGTCGCGCGCAAGGTATTTAACCGAGCAGCCGAGATGAGAGATCAGGAGAAGACGGAAGTAGCGCCAGAGTGCGTAGGGATTCCGCCGTGTAGTCGGCGAAGGTTTCGTCCGTAGGGACGAAGCAGGAGATGAAGAGGATTTCCACCTGAGGGGTGACGACTCGAGCTACAGGCAAGAGTGTGTTTTTACCGCTATCGAGCGAAGACGCGTGGCGACAGCTGCGTGTGAGGAGCCGACGTGTTCCGGCGAAGAAGTTTGAAGCTTGGAGAGTGGCCTATTGAAGACGGGAGGTTTCCTGGAAGAGAAACTCTGGCGAGGTTTCCTGGAAGAGAAACTTCGAGGGCTGCGGAACGACAACAACGCTGGACTTTGAGTGAGTGATTCTCGGAAGAGTATCATCCAGACTTTTGTTCCAAGAACTTTGGACTGGATAGGTTTTCTATCTCTTTAGTCTTTAAGTGTCTTGGTTGTTCAATGCATGCGACTGCATTGTAGAGCGTATCGTTGTCTGTGTGCGTGTTTTGAGTGTGGCTGATTGTACTGTGTAGTACGTTGTTTGATTGGTGACGTATTGTATGTAACAATTGTGGAGTGTGCATATTTGTGTATTGTGTTTTTGATCTGCCATTTTTGAGAATATAATATTTGTTTTGTTGATCAACTCTCGGCTCTGACTTGTTCTTTGGACCACAACCGGCGTCCGCTGGCGCGCCAAAAAGGACCACTTCTAAATTGTCCACGCTTTCGTGGTGCGGTTCGGGGGGCCAATACTTCGGCCCTTGGAATTAGCCCGGCGATCGCCTCCCTAATTAACGGGACCTGTGTCACAATTAATGTGGCGTCCGCGACACAGGACCTTTTGGTGCACATTGTGTCCAAAGTAGTGAGAAAGAGCCTCGAGTGTTGATAGTGCTATCGGAACGATTTTGTGTGTTGTGCAGTGTTCTCGTTAACGAGTGCAGTGGAGTGTTCCGATAGACTGATTTAGGCAGATACTTTTTACACGCGGCAAGACTTTATTTGCGAGACACCATGGATCTCGAAAAGTTAGTAGCTCTTGGTGAGAAGATGGGTCTTTCTGGCGCCAAACTACGGAAGTGGGTCACCCAGAAGGAAAAAGAAGAAAAAGAGAGAGCCAAGGAAGAAAAAGCAGCTGAGTTGGAGAGAGAGAGGTTGGCAGTTGAGAGGGCCAAGGAAGAAAAAGCAGCTGAGTTGGAGCGAGAGAGGTTGGCAGCTGAGAGAGCGAAAGAAGAAAGAGAGCAGCAGTTGAAGTTGGAGCTTGAGAGAGAAAAGCTGGCCGCTGAGAGGGCGAGAGAAGAAAGAGAAGCAAAGGAGCGACAGCTGAAAGAAGAAAGAGAAGCGGAGATGGCTGAAAGGGAACGGCAGCGGCAGCACGAGATGGAACTCGAGCGGCTCCGGTTGCAACAGCGAAGTGAAACTCCCGTCCAACCTAGAGTTGAAAGCAGCGAACGGGAAGATCATGGCTTCCGCTTGAACCCAAGCAAGCTGCTCGTGGCGTTTGATGAAAGGAAGGACGACCTTGACGCGTACCGTCACCGATTCGAGACGATTGCGAAGAGCCAGAATTGGCCGGAACATCAATGGGCAACTGCTTCGAGTACTTGCTTGAGTGGTGAAGCGCTCAGTGTGTACGGTAGGCTGACGCCGACCGATGCAGCCAACTATGCAAAGGTGAAAGCTGCTTTGCTGAAGCGATTTAGATTTACTGTAGAAGGATTCCGGGACCGATTTCGGACAGGAAAGCCAGCTGATGGTGAGACGGCTACACAGTACGCCGCCCGACTTAGCCATTATTTCGACAGATGGATTGAACTTTCAGGGACAGCGCAGGAGTACGATGAGCTTAGAGAGCTCCTAATCAGAGAACAATTTCTTACTAGTTGCCACCCAAGCCTGTCGCTGTACTTGAAAGAGAGGAAGGCTGAGTCACTTAAAGGAATGCTTGAATTGGCTGATCAATTCTTGGAAGCGCAAGGTGGAACTAATTTGGCCAAGGTCAAGAAGGATTGTCCCGATGATTCGAAGAAATTGGCTCCCGAAGAAAAGAAGCGTGCACCAGAGAGCATTCCGCGATGTTTTCTGTGCAACCGAGTGGGTCATCGCGCGAAAAACTGTCGAACGATCTTTACGAGCCCTACGGCAGTAAAATGTTTCAAGTGTGGTCAGACTGGGCACAAAGCAGACGCTTGTCGGAACGGAGTGAGTCAAACTCACCAGGTATCTTGTGTGCAAGCGGCACCGAAATCTGATAATAATGCCGTCACCGATGGATTCGTAGAGTTGAGGAATGGGGAGAAAATTCCTATTGTGGGTGCTGTAATGTCAAAACAGCCAACCGGTGTTACGAAAGGAATGCCAACGCTGCCAGGAAAAGTTGCGGACAAAAAGATTACGGTTCTAAGAGACACCGGTAGCTCCACTGTTATCGTGCGGAGAAACTTGGTACGGGAAAGTGAGTTAACCGGCAAAACGAAACCGGTTTGCTTAATTGACCGTACAGTTCGGATGCTTCCCGAAGCAGAGATTGAGGTTGAAACCCCATACTTCAGCGGGAAGGTTACGGCTCTATGTATGACGACCCCCCTTTACGACCTTGTCACCGGAAACATCGACGGGGCGCGAGGACCGAATGATCCAGAATGTTTGGGAGAAGACCTTAAGATAGAGCCCTCGCCAACCCAACGACCGCGAGATACAGTGGAGGAGCAACCCGTGACGGATCCCACTCGAGCCCAAGGTGAAGCCGTGGTGCAAGGGACTATGAATGATAAGATGATCGTGTTGAACGAGTTCACGGGCCGGGCAACTGGACTTACGTCGGCACGACCTCAACCGACCGACAGTACAAAGGAGACGGAGTTGGCCTGCCAGGCCAAATGTCGGGATGCGAACAAGCGGGTGACAGGATCGGTTGAGCGTTATCACCCGTTAACAGTGTCAGAAGTGACAACGATGGCTGAGACGCCGCCTCGGACCCCGTCGTTGGAGAAGGCTCGCCGAAAAAGAACAATAAAAAACGAGAAGAGATCGAGCGAGCACCGCAAGAAAGGACGCAAGCGCAGCTCGAAATACACAGGATAGGTGCTGAGGTGGAATTGAACTGTGTTTGGCAGTGCTGAGTGCCATATGTTGTGTCAATGTTCTTGTTATCCTGCGTCTCAAGTGTATGTCGAGCGAGTCAAAGTGTTCTGTGCGATGATGTGATGTATAGTGTTGTATAATTGTTGTAAAGACAGAACTTTGTACGTTTGTATTGTTTGGAATGTGTGGTGGAGTGTTGTACTCATGTGCCTGTGGTTATATTTCATGTGTTGTGTAATTGAATTACAATGTACAATTGTATTGAGTGAACTGTTGCGAATGTGAAGTGTCATGAGCGACGGTTTGTGTTAGTCTTTCAGAGTGTGTGGTGACTGTTCGCGCTCGTTTGTGTGGTTTTGAATATTATGAGATAATATTCTTAAAGTGGGGGGCAGTGTCACAGAACGAGCGCTAAAAATGGGCGCGCCGCCAAATTCTTGCGGTAACGCGCGGAAGAGACGCCGGGAGGTCAAAAGAAAGAAAACAGAAAACAAACATCCAAGGCTCCCCGGGCGCGCGCTCTCCCCTTGGAAGCGTGGCTTCGCCGACGAACCTCCTCACCCCACATCGGCGGCCGAGATAGCCCACGAAAGTTCTAGAACGAAAGAGGCGTGTTCTGCCGGGTTGACTCATCTGTCGGGGACTGCCCTCGTACCGTCTCGCGCCCCTTCCCAGCCTTCGCTGCGTATCGCGCCGACGAAATGACGAGAACCTTCTGGAATGTCGCGCGCAAGGTATTTAACCGAGCAGCCGAGATGAGAGATCAGGAGAAGACGGAAGTAGCGCCAGAGTGCGTAGGGATTCCGCCGTGTAGTCGGCGAAGGTTTCGTCCGTAGGGACGAAGCAGGAGATGAAGAGGATTTCCACCTGAGGGGTGACGACTCGAGCTACAGGCAAGAGTGTGTGTTTACTGCTATCGAGCGAAGACGCGTGGCGACAGCTGCGTGTGTGGAGCCGACGTGTTCCGGCGAAGAAGTTTGAAGCTTGGAGAGTGGCCTATTGAAGACGGGAGGTTTCCTGGAAGAGAAACTCCGGCGAGGTTTCCTGGAAGAGAAACTTCGAGGGCTGCGGAACGACAACAACGCTGGACTTTGAGTGAGTGATTCTCGGAAGAGTATCATCCAGACTTTTGTTCCAAGAACTTTGGACTGGATAGGTTTTCTATCTCTTTAGTCTTTAAGTGTCTTGGTTGTTCAATGCATGCGACTGCATTGTAGAGCGTATCGTTGTCTGTGTCCGTGTTTTGAGTGTGGCTGATTGTACTGTGTAGTCCGTTGTTTGATTGGTGACGTATTGTATGTAACAATTGTGGAGTGTGCATATTTGTGTATTGTGTTTTTGATCTGCCATTTTTGAGAATATAATATTTGTTTTGTTGATCAACTCTCGGCTCTGACTTGTTCTTTGAACCACAACCGGCGTCGCGCCAAAAAGGACCACTTCTAAATTGTCCACGCTTTCGTGGTGCGGTTCGGGGGGCCAATACTTCGGCCCTTGGAATTAGCCCGGCGATCGCCTCCCTAATTAACGGGACCTGTGTGACACCATCCGAAACAAGCTTAAAATTCGTATCGTCGCGAAACTCGCATCAACCGTAATCGTATCATGGAGATCCTACTGTAAGTCTAACCGATCGCCGCAGTTTCGCGACGCACCGAACCCGAACTTTGGGAACCCACGTGGAATGCTTAAGAAGAAAAAATTTCATTTGGATGCCATCTGTGGCCATCTGGCCAAAAAAAAAAAATAAAGAAAGGAAACATGTCAGCACGCTTCATTTGTGATGTGGAGGTTTCAAAACATACTGCACAAAGTTCTTGCACGGAGAGTGAATGTTTTAAGAAAAATGTTTTGCATCTGTACTTTTTTTTTTTTTCAGGAAGTGTCTACGGAGTTGAATACGTGAAGAGTATTAGTTGGGCGCTTGCGGCAGCTCTGCGAATGCTGGCTGTCATTGGAAATCGCAGACAGCGCGTGTCCACAGAACTGCTGTGGATGCCCAATATGATTTTGGCACCCATGTTTTGTCTAATAAAAAGATGAAGAAAAAAAAGATGCACACTTGTACTTCGATGTATGTAGTAGGGTTGGAATTCAAAAATTGAATTGTCTCTATTGTGGCGTGCCTTATCATCGAATTCTAGTTTTTGGGCACAAAACACAAGTATTTCCTTTCGTTTAATGGTAGTGAAAGTGAAATTCAACATGTTAAGAGTAATCAGTTGCATGAAACCCTGTTTCATGGGATAGTGTGTTGCTTTTATGCGATATAAATGCAAAATCAGTGTTTGCATGTCGATGTCATCGCTGTGATGGAACTGTTTATTGGTGCGGACTTTTCTTATTTTGACTTTCTAGGTGTACTCAGTTGTTGACAATGTCGTCCGTGTGCACCTGATTGTGGGATGTGGAGCAGAGCAAGTCAACGTCAACGACGAGCTTGTGAACCGTGGCTTTGCTGACTACTGCGAGGAGAACTTCCTTTCCAAGGTGCTTACTCATTCGTCTGACCCTCCTTTACGTGCAGTCTCGTTCTGTGCGATCCTGCTTATCCTTGTTCTTGGGAATCGTGCTGTTAAAATATCGATATAGTGAACTCAACCAAATGAAATTTCCAATATTGCAGCGCATAACTCCTGTCCGACATCGCGCATTTTCAATTTCAACGTAACGAAAGTGTCACTGCTGTCACAGGGAAAGATTGGGATAGTAAATTGGAAGGTTTAGTTGAGGATTACTTTTTGCAGTCGTGCATTTTTCAGAAAGCAGCCGCTAAACCAGACCAAGTTTTTCGGCAACAGTTAAGGGGCAAAGGCAAACCTTGTGTGTCGCTCATCTCGCCACTGAAGTTTGGAGGCCACCCATTTGTAGCACGAAACCTCAAGGAAATTCGTACGGATTTCTCGGAAAGAAAAGCTTCTTAGTTGCTGGGACGTGTCCTGGTCCGGGTTTCAAACCCGAGGCTAACGCCTTGCCGAGGCAGTCTCTCTACCAATTGAGCAAACCAGGAAGCTAGCAAGTGACAGCGCGAGGGTGAATTCATGACTAAGGAGCTTTTCCTTCTGAGAAATTAGTGCGGATTTCCTTGTGGCCTCGTGCTACAAATGTGTGGTCGTCTCTTTTGCCCTTCTTTACCCTTCTACTGCCTTTTGGGTTTCCGCATAACTCAGTTGCGAGACCCACGGGTCGTGTGATTGAATCGCGGCCGCGGTGGCCACATTTTTGATAGAGGCGAAAATGCTTGAGGCCTGTGTTGTTGGATTTAGGTGCACTTTAAAGAACCATAGATGATTGAAAATTCTGGAGCTCCCCTCTACAGCATCTCTCGTAATCATCGGTAGTTTTGGGATGTTAAACCTTGGCGATGATTATTAAGTTTGGGAGGCCACGCACATGAGCTCCCTAATGTATGGTGCGGTGCACTGTACAACTGGAGTAGTTCTGAATTTCACTCTTCCAGTGGCTTACATGAATGACCGATTAGGTGTTTTTCTTGTCACCTTGGATTACGAGCATACTCTTGCCAAGGTGGCTGAATGTTGGACAAAGTCGCCAAACTTGACACTGTCCCCGTACAAATTCAAATTCTGCCAAAATCTCTGTTGATAAATGATGATAACAATGCCGATTAGGCTTGTTCAAATAGAGAGTTTAAGGTTCGAAGCGAAAAGTGATTTTGAAGTATAATTTTGAATCGAATTTAAACAGTAATACAGTAAACCTTTGTTGGTACAAAGTCTCCTAACTAGTAAGAGAAGTATCAAAACCGTCATTAAATTATGCACTCGTTTTGTCTGCAGTCTCTGCCATATCCAGAGCACAGTGTTCCTCATATGAGCCTACATGCTCCCGATTGTTTCACGAGAAACCAGAGTATAAGCATCGCTGTCACAATATTTATATGGGTGACGACTCAGTTTTATTATGCCAGTTTTGCGGAAGATAATAATTATTGCTTTCTGAAAGGCTTATTACATAATAAACAAAACCAAATGAAATTTCCAATATTGCAGCGCATAACTCCTGTCCGACATCGCGCATTTTCAATTTCAACGTAACGAAAGTGTCACTGCTGTCACAGGAAAGATTGGGATAGTAAATTGGAAGGTTTAGTTGAGGATTACTTTTTGCAGTCGTGCATTTTTCAGAAGCAGCCGCTAAACCAGACCAAGTTTTTCGGCAACAGTTAAGGGGCAAAGGCAAACCTTGTGTGTCGCTCATCTCGCCACTGAAGTTGGAGGCCACCCATTTGTAGCACGAAACCTCAAGGAAATTCGTACGATTTCTCGGAAAGAAAAGCTTCTTAGTTGCTGGGACGTGTCCTGGTCCGGGTTTCAAACCCGAGGCTAACGCCTTGCCGAGGCAGTCTCTCTACCAATTGAGCAAACCAGGAAAGCTAGCAAGTGACAGCGCGAGGGTGAATTCATGACTAAGGAGCTTTTCCTTCTGAGAAATTAGTGCGGATTTCCTTGTGGCCTCGTGCTACAATGTGTGGTCGTCTCTTTTGCCCTTCTTACCCTTCTACTGCCTTTTGGGGTTTCCGCATAACTCAGTTGCGAGACCCACGGGTCGTGTGATTGAATCGCGGCCGCGGTGGCCACATTTTTGATAGAGGCGAAAATGCTTGAGGCCTGTGTTGTTGGATTTAGGTGCACTTTGAAGAACCATAGATGATTGAAAATTCTGGAGCTCCCCTCTACAGCATCTCTCGTAATCATCGGTAGTTTTGGGATGTTAAACCTTGGCGATGATTATTAAGTTTGGGAGGCCACGCACATGAGCTCCCTAATGTATGGTGCGGTGCACTGTACAACTGGAGTAGTTCTGAATTTCACTCTTCCAGTGGCTTACATGAATGACCGATTAGGTGTTTTTCTTGTCACCTTGGATTACGAGCATACTCTTGCCAAGGTGGCTGAATGTTGGACAAAGTCGCCAAACTTGACACTGTCCCCGTACAAATTCAAATTCTGCCAAAATCTCTGTTGATAAATGATGATAACAATGCCGATTAGGCTTGTTCAAATAGAGAGTTTAAGGTTCGAAGCGAAAAGTGATTTTGAAGTATAATTTTGAATCGAATTTAAACAGTAATACAGTAAACCTTTGTTGGTACAAAGTCTCCTAACTAGTAAGAGAAGTATCAAAACCGTCATTAAATTATGCACTCGTTTTGTCTGCAGTCTCTGCCATATCCAGAGCACAGTGTTCCTCATATGAGCCTACATGCTCCCGATTGTTTCACGAGAAACCAGAGTATAAGCATCGCTGTCACAATATTTATATGGGTGACGACTCAGTTTTATTATGCCAGTTTTGCGGAAGATAATAATTATTGCTTTCTGAAAGGCTTATTACATAATAAACAAAACACAAACATATTAACAAGTGCCAATTGTATATATACCCTGTCTGTTAATCTGCGTAACTTTATTATAACCAGTTCTCATTTTGTATCGATAGCTTAAATTGGGCTGCTTTCCAAATAATCTATTGGAGTAACGCCATTGCAAGCCAGCAAATTTATGACGATGTTTTGTATTATAAGCGTAGTACTGTTATTAAGTGTCAAGAGTTTAGGCAGGCAGTGGTGCATCTTGTATTGCGAAATTTAACTTGTATATGTACAGAGTAAACACGCACGTACACACACACACACACATACGTATGTGTGTGTGTGTGTGTGCGTGTGTGTGTGTGTGTATATAACTCATCTTCTGACGAAGGGAGCACACCTCCCGAAACTGTTGGGAAATAAATATATTTATCGTTGTTTACAACGCTCCCGTTGTGCCATATCCCATACCTTCACAAAGGCTCACTGGCCCATTAAATTATTACTCCCAGTATATATATTGTAGGCATTCATTAAGCACATCTACTATCTTTACACATGTTCATCATCATGAGTGGTCGTCATCCTCATCTGTTGTGGGGACTTGGCTTGCCTGAGTTCTGTGCTTTGGGTGTGGTCGCTTCATCGTGCCTTCTGGGACTAATAAAGGTTGCCTTCACCGTTACATCACAAGGGGTGGAGTGTGCTCTAAGATCTTCCGTCCTCTCCCAGCCCGATCTGCTTCCTGGAGCTCCGCTCAGGTCGTCGTTTGTGCCAGGTGTCCGGTAACATGCCTCAGGATGAGCCAACCGGCGCTTCTGTGTCTACCTCCACGGCCCCGGCTACCACGGCCTATCCATCGTGGATTATCACCGCGCACAAGCCTGAGCCGCCCACGTTCGCCGGACTTCGAGGTGAAGATGTGGAGGATTGGTTGGACCAGTTCAATCGAGCGAGTTCCACTAACAACTGGGATGCCCTTTCACCCACCATGGCGGCCGCCTCGTCCGATATGTCATTACTGCAGCTATCGGGGCCACATTGCACGCGTCTGTCGGAAGCGTCAACAGGACGAGCGTCGTGGATTCGACGCCTACGGACGGGATGATGGGACAAGCTGGTACGCTTTCCAACGTCGTCCTCATGATCCGCCGCTATGTCACTCACCGTCCCCAACTGCCACATCTGAGCCAACCACTTCATACCGCTCTACTAGGCGCCGCTCACCCTCACCCCTCTGCCGCTCCACGTCTTCATTGCGACCTGTCTCGCAATTCACCAACCAACGCCCGGAAAACTAACCTCTGCAGCTTTTGGAGGAAAAGCTGCATCGAAAGAAGAGACAAATTCCTCCAGTGCGTCCATATAATACGATATCTGTTTTAATAGAAGGTGTGTACGTGGACGCTTTAATAGACACTGGTGCTTGTTTTTCTGTTATTGATCGTTCCTTGTGCTAACATCTGCGAAAAGTCACCACCCCTTATGATGGACCTACACCGCTCGCTGCTCAAGGGGATGCCATTAGACCTGCCGCCATGTGCACCGCTCGTGTTTTCATAGCTGGTCTTCTTCATTTTGTGCAATTCTGTGCTGAGTTCGTGTGCCCACCAGCTTATATTAGGCTGGGATTTTCTGTCTACAGCGAACGCTTTCATCTGCTGTCGAAAAAATGTTGTTCACATGATGGAAACTGACTATGCCCTGTATGCGGATGACAAGCCCGTTTGCTTGCTCGCTGCTGAAGATACCGAGCTACCACCTGGTCATCAGCGAATAGTTACCATCACTTCTAATGTGATCGACTCTGGTGACGTGTTTGTCCAACCATCTGCACGCTGTCTCGCAAGAGGTATAGCCCTTGCTTCAGGTCCAGCACGGTTCCACAATGGCTCCGGACTTCTCTACGCTACAAACCAGACGTCTGAGAAAATTCTCATTCCTAAAGGCACCATAATGGCTTGCGTTACTGAATCCCAACCTGTCTCTGTTGTCCCGTTTATGCCAGCGTGTTCTGACCTTCCTTCTATTGGACGTTCATCAAGCGTTTCTGTTCTTGCTGCGACTATTAGTCCAGAGCTAACCTCTTCACAGACAGATGAGTTGCTTGCCTTTCTACAAAAGCATAGGAGATTGTTTGATGCCCATTCCTCAT